CGCTCGAACATTTGCTCGAGCAGTTGTTGCTGACTATGCCAGGGTGGCTTCGCCATATCCGAACGCGCTGACTATGCCAACCATGACTGTGCCAACCCTTGCTATGCCAACCTTGACTGTGCCAACTAAGCTCCCCCCCAGCGGAGGGCCCCCCTTCCTCCTGCGACCCGCGACTACCTCCACATTTGTCCCAGTGGAGGCGACTGACCGCCGCAGACACTGTTGGAATCCGAGGCGGCTGGGTGTTCCCAAGGGTCGCGTCGCCAACGGGTTCTGTTGGGCGGTCGGCAAGGTCCTCTCAGTTTTCTCCCTGCCCCTTCCGTTGCGGCTCGCGACCCCCATTCGCACTCTTCCCGGCGCAAGAGAATTCCCTGGAATCCAAAGCAGCTGGGCATTCCCAAGGGTCGCGTTGCCAGTGGGTTGCGTTGGACGGCCAGCAAGGTCCCCCACGTCTTCTCCCTGCCCTTCACCCTGCGACCTGCGACTATATTCGCGCACTTCCCGGTGGAAGCGACTGACCGTCGCAGAGTCTGCTGGAGTGCGAGGCGGCTGGGTGCTCCCAACGGTCGCGTTGCCAGTGGGTTGCGTTGGTTGGTCGGCAAGGCCCTCGCTGCTGTCTCCCTGCCCCTTACCCTGTGGCTCGCCATTTCGCGATCTTCCCGGCGTAGGTGAACGACCATCGCAGAGTCAATTGGAACCGGAGGCGCATGGGTGTTCCCAAGGGTCGTGTTGCCAGCGGGTTGCGTTGGACGGTCGGCAAAATCCTCTCTGTATTCCCCCTGCCCCTCTCCCTGCGACTCGCGACAATCATCGCATTTTTCCCGGCGGCGGCGACTGGCCGTCGCAGAGCCCGTTGGAAGCCGAGGATGTTGGGTGCGCCAAGCGCCAAGAGGTCGCGCTGCCAGTGGGTTGTGTGGGACGGTCGGCAAGGCCCTCCCTGACTTCTTCCCGGCCCTCCTCCTGTGATTCGCGACTACCTTCGCGCTCTTCCCGGCGGAGGCGACCCATTTCGCAATCTTCCAGACGCAGGCGACGAACCGTCGCACCATGGGGAATCATGGGCAGGGAGGGAGGGGAACGCAGGAGGGGAGGGAGGGAGGGAAGGGCACGCCAGGCGCACGGTGTGAGAGGAGGGGGAAGAGCTCATCATAGCCCTGTGTGCAATGACGCGCACGCCAGGCGCTCGGATTCTGGCAGGGCGCTGACAGCACGCAGACGCCGTCGACACGGGGGTGGAGGCAGACGGCGGCGCCTCCGACGTCAAAGGCCCGACCTCGCACGAGAACACTCTCACCCTGCAGCGAACGGCAGGCGTCGGCGCCCACGAGATCCCGCCCATCTCGCAAGGGTGCCTGGCGCCCCCTGTGCGCGCCGACGCGGTGTCCCAGGTGTTGCCCACGCGGTTGCGCCCAGCCGATGCCCAGGCCCAATGAATCGCTCATGGCCCGAACATCGCAGCTGTCGCTGTGAAATGAGGTCAGGAAGGCGACGCAGGTTCGCTGATCGCGCCGACGCGCGTCGACAGCGCGCGCGGTGCCAGGGGCAGCGGGATGCTCGGCAAAGGCGTGCCAGACGGCTGTGAACGTCGCACCCAGGGTGGCCCGAAGGTACCTGATCGTCTCGTTTGGTGACACTCCGCGGGCCCCCACTGGGAGTCGTGGGCCCGGACTTTATAGAGCGGCCTTCCGGCGTGGGAGCCCCGTGGTCCTGGATGCCGGCGATCGGCGAACAGCCTGGGCATCCGCCCACTTCCCGCCCGACGCGTCGAGGATGCCCCCCAGCTGGGCTGCCAGCCCGTTTCGGCGGTCGGGCTCAAGTCCCCGCCCGAGAGGGGGGGCGCCTGGCGAGCTTTGCAGGGATGCAGGGGTCGCCCCGCGGCTGCGAGTCGAGGCGCCCGCCCGCATCGAGTCGCCGGCAGGGGAGGAAGGACGAATGGGGGCGCAAGGGCTCCTCGAGCCCAGCTGAAAGATGGATTCGCTGTCCCGCTCGCCAGTGGAAGGATGACGCGCGGGCGCAGTGGAACTTCCCAGTGCCGTCTGGAGGGTGGCTTCACAATCGGGCAGGCCGCCGGGTTGGCCATCGGGCTGGCCGAGGAGCTGGCCGTGGGATTGGGCGTCGGGCAAGGCCTCAGGTAGAGTTGGTAGGGGGCCAGGTTGGGCGTCGGGAGCAGTGCCCCCTGACTCCCGCGACTCGGGACTATATTCACACTCTTCCCAGTGGAGGCGACTGACCGTCGCAGAGTCAGTTGGAATCCGAGGCGGCTGGGTGTCCCCAGGCGTCGTGTCGCCAGCGGGTTGTGTTGGACGGTCGGCAAGGTCCTCTCTGTCTTCTCCCCGCCCCTTCTCCTGTGGCTCGCGACCCACGTCGCACTCTTCCCGGTGTAGGTGACTAACCATCGCAGAATCCCCTGGAATCCAAGGCGGCCGTGCGTTCTCAGGGCTCGCGTTGCCAAAGGGTTCGGTCGGCAAAGTCATGTCTGCATTCTCCCTGCCCCTCACCCTGCGACTCGCGACTATCTTCGCACTCTTCCCGGCGGCGGCGACTAACTGTCGCAGGTCGAGGCTATCGGAATCCGAGGCGGCTGAGTGTTCCCGGAGGTCGCGTCGCCAGTGGTATGTGTTGGACGGTCGGAAAGGTCCTCTCTGTCTTCGGGGATCTTCTGACCCGGGTCAGTCCAGACCCGGGTCAGCAGGAAACCAAAAACTGCAATGCAGGAAAAAAAACTGCACCGCAGGTCTTCGCAGACCCGGGTCAACCAATACGCGCGGCCGCCTCGCGGCCACGAGCGGCTCCCTAACCCGGGTCAGCCAGAGAGGGTCTTCGCAGGATCCTGCAGGATCTGGCGCCCTGGCTGACCCCCGTCTGTATTGACCCCCGTCTCAAGGCCCCCGGTGTCTTCCCCCTGCCCCTTCTCCGGTGGCTCGCGACCCATTTCGCAATTTTCTCGGCGCAGGTGAACGACCACCGCAGAGTCTGTTGGAAACCAAGGCGGCTGGGTGTTCCCAGGGGTCATGTTGCCAGCGGATTGTGTTGGACGATCGACAAAGTCCGCTCTGTCTTCTTCCTGCCCCCCCCCACCCTGCGACTCGCGACTATCTTCGCGCTCTTCCCGGCGAGGGCGACTGACCGTCGCAGAGTCTGTTGAAATCCGAAGCGGTTGGGCGTGGCAAGAGGTCGCGTTGCCAGTGGGTTGCGTGGGGCGGTCGGCAAGGTCCTCCCTGACTTCTTCCTGACCCTCCTCCTGCGACTCGCGACCATCTTCGCGCTCCCCGATAGGAGGCGACCCATTTTGCAATCTTCCCGGCGTAGGCGACTAACCGTCGCATCTCGAGGAATCATGGGCAGGGAGGGAGGAGAAAAGTCAGTCTCAGGGAGGCCAGCCCACCCGTCGGCGCGCTGGGTCTGCGTCGCGGTCATGCTGCCGGGCAGCTTTGTTGGACAGCCGCGCAAGCCAGGCGGTTCCAGGACAGTGTCGACAGGAGGACGGCCGTCGAGCTGGCAGTCGGGCTGGCCGCGGGGCTGGCCGTCGGGCTGGCCGTCGGGCCGGCAGCGGGGCTGGGAGTCGGGCTGACCGTGGGGCTGACTGCCAGGCAGGCCGCGGGGCTGGCCGTCGGGCTTGTCGCGGGGCTGGCCGCGGGGCTGGCAGTCGGGCCGGCCGCGGGGCTGGCCGTCGGGCTGGCCGCGGGGATGGCAGCGGGGCTGGCCGCGGGGTAGGCCGCGGGGCTGGCCGCGGGGCTGGCAATCGGGCTGGCCCGCCTGGCACCGTCACCGCAGCGGCGGCGGTGGCCGCCGCGCGGGAGCGGGCGGCCGCCGCGGCCCCCAGGCCTGCGGCAGCCGCCGCGGCGGCTGCCTCGGCGGCAGCGCCCGCGGCGCCAGCGGCGCACCAGGCGCCGGCAGCGTGCGCGGCGGCGCCCGCGCGGTCCCTGGCGCACGCGGCGCCGGCGGCGCCAGCGGCGCCCGTGGCGGCCGCAGCGCGCACCGCGCCAGCAGCACCAGAGGCGCCCGCGGCCGCCGCAGCGCCGGCGGCGCCGGCTGCGGCCACGGCCCCAGCGGCACCGGCGGCGACCGCGGCGCCAGCGGCCGCGGCCACTGCCACGGCGCCCGCGGCGCCCGCGGCGCCAGCGGCCGCGGCGGCCCGCGCGTCGGCGTCCGCGGCAGCGGCCACGGCGGAGGCCGCGGCGGGCCTGCCCTGCGCCGAGGCCCGCGGCAGACCGCGTGCGGCCGCGGCGCCGGCAGCGGAGGGGCCAGCGGCGCGAGCGGCGGCCGCGGCCCTCTGCCGGCGGCGCCGAGCGGCCGGCGTATCCATCGCGCGCGGGCCCGAGCGCGCGCCGACCTGGGTCAGGGGCGAGCCGACATGGCTTGAGCCAGAGGCTACGGATCATGGTGAGGGTTTTTTTTGGTCAGCGGCCGCAGGCGAAGAGCGCCAGCGGCGAGTCCAGTCAGAGCGGGCCGCACAAAATGGTGAGGGCACGCGAAGCGTCAAGAATTTTCTCTACATTGGAACTGGCTCGAAGATCACCGGACATATCGCGGGAGCGTGCGAAGAACAGGCTCTACCAAGTCTGGAGATGGCTCGGATCCGGCGGAGTCTCCTGGTCCTCGGGGGGCGGCTGCTCCTGACTTTCGTCGGGAGAGCCCAGCTCATCAGCAGCTGCGCGAAGCAGCGCTCAAGAATGTCGAGCTGCAGGAAGGGCGCCGAAGCTTGAATCCGCCTGCTGTGTGAGAGAACCTCGCGGATCCTGCCGCACATCTCGGCAGATCTAAAGGGGCCCAGGGACACACAAATAGATAGAAACAAACCCGAGGATTTCCCATATTATCCTATATTCTCTGGGTTCTCGTCCCCCCCCCATATCCCATAGTTTCCCATATTTTTCCCTGGGGATCGACGATGGACACTGTCTGTGTGATTTTTCCCCTCCTGGGGATCTTCGACCCCGATCGTCTCGGCCGCCCCGCTCCGATCCGGACCCCGCGATGCAGCGCTGCCAGGGGGGCACCACGTGGGGTGCTTCGCGATGCCCGACTTTCTCAGCCACTCGACCGCGTGGAAGCACATGCTGCCGGCTTGCGCCTCCTGGGCGGAGGAGCGAGGTCGGAGGTAAAGAGGGAGACAGATATCATTATAGAATTCGAGATATATATATATATATACACAACAACAATAACAAACAAAAACAAAAAAACTGTCGAAAGACCCAACCATATGCAGGTGTGGGCACCGCAATTCTGAATATCTTCTTCGGTGGAGCTCCCTATGGGGCCACGAAGCGCTGCACCGGGTGGGGGGGAACGCATGCGGGCTGTAGCACTGGGACCGTCGGTGGAGCTCCCTATGGGGCCACGAAAAGCTGTACTGGGTGGGGAGGGACGCATGCGGGCGGTAGCACTGGGGCCTTCGGTGAAGCTCCCTATGGGGCCACGAAACGCTGTACAGGGTGGGGAGGACGCATGCGGGCGGTAGACCTGGAACCTTCGGAAGGGCTCCCTACGGGGCCACGAACCGCTGTACTAGGTGGGGAAGACGCATGCGGGCGGTAGAACTGGGACCTTCGGTGGAGCTCCCTATGGGGCCACGAAACGTGTGAGGGGTGTGCCAAGTTCGGCTTTCGGGACGCATGCGGGCAGTAGCACTGGGGCCGTCGGTGGAGCTCCTTATGGGGCCACGCAACGTGTGAGGGATGTGCCAGATTAGGTTTTCGGGACGCATGCGAGCGGTGGCACTGGGGCCTTCGGTGGAGCTCCCTATGGAGTCACGAAACGTGGGAGGGGTGTGCCGAATTCGGTTTTCGGGACGCATGCGGGCGGTGGCACTGGGGACTTCGGTGAAGCTCCCTACGGGGCCACGAAACGTGAGGGATGTGCCAAATTCGGCTTTCGGGACGCATGCGGACGGTCCCACTTGGGGGCTTCGGTGGAGCTCCCTATAGGGCCACGAAACGTGTAAAGGGTGTGCCAAAATCGGTTTTCGGGATGCATGCAGGCGGTGGCACTGGGGCCTTGGGTGGAGCTCCCTACGGGGCCACGAAACGTGTGAGGGGTGTGCCAAACTCGGTTTTCGGGACGCATGCGGGCGTTCCCACTGGGGGCTTCGGTGGAGCTCCCTACTATAGGGCCACGAAACGTGTGAGGGGTGTGCCAAATTCGGTTTTCGGGACGCATGCGGGCGATCCCACTGGGGGCTCCAGTGGAGCTCCTCGTGGGGCCACGAAACGCTGTACTGGGTGGGTGAAACGCATAGAGGTGGGAGGAGAGGGAGGGGGGAGGAAGGAGGGAGGAACGCGGGGACCGTCTCTTCAAAACGATGACCAAACACCACAAAATTGTTAGGAAAAAATGTAGGCCCGGGGCCAGGGGCATTGAGGAAGAGACCCTGCACAGGCATGATATCTTGGAGGTCCGCGCGGCTCTCTCGCCGGGGCGGGCGCCGGAGGCCACACCCAGGGGAAGCCAGTCTCGATCCAAGGAATCCGCGAAGAGCCTCGAGAGCGTATGCTTCTGCAGGCTGCTTTTCTTCGAGGTCAGGGGCGGCAGGAGGGGGCGAGGGGGGGAGGCTGGGAAGGCAAGAGAGGGATTGCGGGAGCGTGCGCGCGCAGGCGCACGGCATCGCGGCGCTGGGCCGCCCAAAGCTCGAGAAGGGCCAACCAGCGCCGCGGGACCGTGGCAGGTGCCACCTCGCCGTTCCCCCACGAGCGACAAGCGCATCCACATCCGTGCCCGGGCGGTCCGGATGCCGAGGGACGATCTCCTCCCTTCCTTCGGCCTTGCAAATTGCACAATCGAACAGCCTGAATATGAACTCACGCCGTGCGAAACTGACCAGTTTCGATCCCCCCCGCCGTCCCTGCCACTCCTTGATGTAATGATCCATGTTGCGCACGGCCAGACTCCAATGTGCCAAGTAACCAAAACGCAAGTGCGCTTGGCTGAAGCTCAAGCGCTTTAAGATCAAATGTAGCCCCTTGATGATCTTAGTTTTTCGTGTGGCAGCTTCAGCTTCGGTTTAGCATTCCGCGTGTGAGTGGCGGAAGTGGCTTAGGGAAGCTCAGAGAAGGTGCACTGTCCAAGCGCCACCGATCATGACGCCAAACATCTTGTTCAGTGCAACAGTCGCTGCATTGCAATAGCTGTTGCATTGCACTTCTTCTGAGCTGCAGTTGGCTGCTTCAGCAGGCGTAGGTCTGCACGTGTGTCGGAAGAGGTTTGGATCGGTTCAGGCAGGGTGCGGCAGCCCAAAGCGCCAACCACCACGACCATGACCACTATGCGTTGCGTTGCTGAATTCTAACGCATTGAAAATCATTCAGCATTGCACACGTGTGCGCTGCGCGTATCTGCTTCAACTTGAGATAGAGAAATTGCGCGTGCGAGCCAATCAAGGTCAAGGGCAGTTCAAAGATGGCGCGGTGGCCAAGAGCAGTCGTTTTCCAGTGCAGCCAGAGCTGTTGCATTGCACTTTGTTGTGCATTGCGCTTGGCTGCTTGAGCTCGAGTTTATGACTCCGCGTGCGGGTCGGAGGTGGTTTGGGAGGGTTCAGGGAGGCTGCAGGGCCCACAGCGCCAGCCAGCATGATCAGAAGCATATGATGTGTTGCTAGGCATGTGCCGCTTGGATGCATATGTGTGGCACTGGGGTAAGCTACGTCAACTTGGACATGAGATTCCGAATGCGAATCGGTAGTAGCGTGGGGGATTCAAGGAACATTTGAGGGTCAGGGCGCCGACGCTCATGACGCGAAACAGCGCGTTTTGCACTGCAGCTGCATGCTGTATTGCATCTGTTGCATTGCAACACTTTGCTGGCCTCGTCGATTATGATGATTGCGATTATGATTGTGCGAATGAGTCGGGAGGGGCTTAGGGAGGCTCAGGAGAAGCTGTGGCGTCAAAGCGCCAACGACCATAAAGCGAAACACGGCCTTGTCGAAGGGGTGTGCACGAGAAGATTCCCCATATTTTCCCATATCATCTGGGTTTTGTCTTTCCCCCCATTTCCCATATTCTCCCATATCTTCAGGGGAATCGACGATTCATTGTGTCTGTGTGTCTTCTTTTTCCCTCCTGATTTTTGCCGCGGCGGACCGAAGAGGAGGCAAGCGCCCGAGGCGCTCTCGGAGAATACGCCCCGGATCCCAAAGTTGTGCGGCGGCCCCGGCTTCCCACCGGCTCACGACGCGGTGTGGTCGCCACACCCCTGACCGTCCAGAGTGCTACAAGATAGCCCTCCAGACCTATAGACCGATCTGAGCTCCCTAAAACCTCGACAGGAGTTAAGATGTCGAGGTCCTGGTGTTATCTTTTAGCCCTCCTGGAAGGTCAGGGCCCGGTTAGGGGCCCCCGACCTGGACCCCACGGGGGGGAAGTTGGGCCCCCCTGAGACCCGGGCGCTGCAATTCGTCAACACCGTGGGCGTCTCTGCGCGGTGTCGGGCCCCGGGGCCATCACAAACGGCTGCGGCTTGGCAAGTGCCGCGGACATTGGCATGGGGTTCTGGATGGGATTGTTCGCGATGTTGCAACTATTCGTGACGTCGGATCGCAGGTTTGGTCACTGACGATGCAAGGGTCCTCCTCGCGAATCGGCGGCGGCTGGCCTGGACCAAGACCAACGCTGGCGCCGACGAAGTCCCACGACATCTCGGTCATGGCCATCGTTTTTTCTTCGTCGCTTGCATATGTGTTGACAGGACTATCGGAAAGGCTGGGGGGAACGCGAAACAACAACAACAACAACAACAACAACAACAACAACAACAACAACAACAACAACAACAACAACAACAACAACGATCAAAACAGATTGGGTGTCGCCTGGCCTCCGAACGCGGAAAGCAAACGGAAGCCCCTTCGACCGTTGAGATACGAAGTCACTCCATGTACAGTCATCGTGCTATTACACGGGAGCGCAGAGTAGGGAACGAAGGGGCTCCTCTGAATCTCGCACTCATTCTCCCTGATCCTCCCCCTGCAGATTCCTGGCAGTCCGTCTTGCTCAGCTCCCGCGTGACGGGGGCATCGCCAGTCATGGCCTTCGGCGCCCAGATGTTCTCCATCACCTCTCGAAACAGGAGAGAGGAGGACGAGATGAGGTTGAGAGCACTCATAACCCCTGGAGCCTGCTCCCTCGCGGGAAGAGGCAACCGAAAGAAGGGATCCCCCGCCCTCCCAAACAGGCCGCCGTGCACCACAGCGCGGTGGCAACCAGACATGCACACACCGCAGCCGCAGCATGACGCGATCAGGCCTCACGCAGTGGCCACGCTTTGTGTAACTGTGTCGCCAGTAGGATGCCTATGGAGTGCTTCGCCGTCGAACACGTCGAAATACATACATGTGGACGAGTGCGTTCGGCGCGCGCGCGAACCTGGCTACCATGCCTCTCTGGCTTCCTGCATCCCTCAAAAACGGTTGGCGATAAGGGCGTCAACAAGACAGGAAAAGTGCCTCTGGGAAGCAGTGCGGATGGTTATTGTCACGTCGACGCGTGCGTTGGTTTCTGATACAACGTAGATTTCAAAGGCGAGCGATCAAAGCTTTCCGGCAATGCAGTCCATGGTCTGGCTCATGCCGCCGGTGAACTTCAACCTTGAGCGCACGCGCCAGCGTCGCCACAGCGTCGCCGCAGCGTCGACGCGGCGCGAACTAGCAATAATCACTTGGGCGACGATCAAAAACAGGTCTTACGCAAGATGGCGTGACGACCTTACGCGGTGGCCTACGCGGGCCGCCAACGCGGCACGCTGCATCGGAGACGAGGGCGCTTACGCGCGACCTTACGCGGGCAGCTTACGCGCCAATGTCGGTAAAGGCGACTCCAACTCTTTGCGTCGTTCACTTGAGAGTGGGATGTTTAAGAGACGAGGACGATGAAACAAACCAAGACCCCGACGTCCCGCGTCGTGAAAATACGCCGTCAAAAATCGCAGGATTCTCTCGGCCCCATCTTCATGCGCGCATTTCCGAACCACAGCGACGAGGGTCCCGAGGCCGGGCCTGTCCTGGGGTGCGTTCTGGCCAGAACCTCGGCGGGAATCCAGCCGCGGCGACGAGGAGCCTCCAGGAGGTCCAAGAGCACAAGACCACTAACATGAACCTCGATATCCTCGTGGTTGCAGGCACCCAGGCCACCGCCATGAACTCTGCCTGCCTGAGGCCGAAGGTCTCATCCGCGTTGGCCGCGGCCCTCCTCACGGCCGCCGAGTCGGCGGTCTCGAGCAGGCTGACCGAGGTCTGGCAGGGGGGGGCGATGAGCCCGCCCTCCACGCTCACCGTCTCCCTCACACCACCCCCTCCTGCTGTCTTGCTCGTTCCCCAGACAGTGCTTGCACTCAGGGGCTCGCCTTGCTTGCTTACGAGACTGAATCTGCGTGTCGGGGGTTCGGCCGTTGCCCCCCCCGTGGGCGCCTCGTGGGCGCCTCGTGGGCGCACCGCGCTTCGGAGGTTCTGGCGAAAGCCCGCCCGTGGGCGCCTCATAGGCGCCCCGCGCCTGGGGGGGTGTCGCAGTTCCGTGGGCGCCTCGTGGGCGCCCCGCCCTGGGGGCGCACGCCAAGGCACCACTTAGCTTGCACCACATGGCTTGCACCACGTAGGTTGCAAAACACATATTGCGCCACACAGCTAGCACAGCCGAGCTTGCACCACATGGCCTACACCAGGTACAGTGTGCCAAACAGCTTGCACAGCATAGCTTGCGCCACGCGGGTTGCACCACGTGTATTGCACTACACAGCTGGCACCACATGGCTTTCACCACGTAGACTGTATCACATAGCTTGCACAACATGGCTTGCGCCACGCAGGTTGCACCACGCACATCGCGCCACATAGCTTGCACCACATAGCTTGTACCACCCAGCGCACCACAAAGCTTACATCCACAGTGCAATCGATTACTGTGTGGGGACGACGCTGGCTAACAGTTTGGTTATTTCGACGGGAGGGCGAAAGCTGGGTCAAAGCGCTCGGGGGCGCCAGCGCGAGGAGGGTACACTAGATCCACCATCGGATGAAGAATCAGGGGATTCGGGCTCGCTGATTGATAGCAACGTTACTGCTGGTCGTGGACGGCCCCGCCGAGGTGCACTCGCAGCAGCAGCCTCACCTTCTCTGAGTGAGGCGACACTTCCACACCTCGCCGATCCTGACCAGGCGAAGCCGGGGCCGAGGACCGGTGAAGACGCCACTTTGGCCTGGCCAGGCGACCACATGCACCGATCCTCGGCCCAGGATGGGCAGGGGCAGCATCGGGGTTGCGCGCAGCTGTCGTCCTCCAATCCCCGACCCCCTCCCGCACTCCTCCGCCACCCCCTCCCGCCGCGCCCCTTCCCAGAGGAACCGGAGACACTGCACGAGCATAGACTTTCGGCGCTCCACGCGGATTTCTTGGGTCGGCCCTGGGCCGCCCCTGGCGGCGCCTCTGGCGCAGCCCCCGACGCGCTCCGCGCGCCAGGCAGAGGGGCCCAGCGCCGACTCGAGAGATCCGCGCGGAGCTCGAGCAGTTTACGCGCATGCCGACGTTTCTGAAGGGGCCCTGAGACACACAAATAAATACACACAAATCAACAGATTCCCCATTTTTTTCAATATTTTTGGGTTTTTCGTCTTCCCCCCCACTTCCCATATTTTCCCATATTTTCTGGGAAATCGCCGATTGATTGTGTCTGTGTGTTTCTTTCCCTCCTGAGTTTCTTCTTCGCCTCGGCGCCAGCCACGCTCCCGCCTCCCCCCCCCCGTCCACCAAACGAAGGAGCCCAGACCCATGCGCTGAGAAGCCCCGCATCCCCCGATGAACAATTTTGAAAACAGGTGCGGGATTGAGTCAGAGGCGCTCGTGGTGCCGACGACTGCACTCCTGCGTCGGCAGCAAAGGCAACTGGCAACCTTGAGATGTGGAGCCCCAGGGGCGGCCCCGTTGACGCGGCATCTCTGGATGGGCGTGCTTTACGCCAACAGCGGTCTCACCAACCACTCACTGCCCTCCCGCGACGGGGTCCCAGTGTCCACTCGAGCAGGGGCAACCGCCGGCGGCGCGGCGGGGCCGTCGCAAGCGGCAGGGCCCTCCTGCCTGCCCCCTCCCCCTCTGCCCCCATCCTCCCCTCCTGTCGTCCTCGTCCTCGTCATATTCCTTCCACTGCTCGCCCTGCTTCCCCTCCCCTTCGCCTGCCTCCACTCGTCGTGCTCCTACGGTTTCCGTATCATGCTCAGGCTCACGCTCGTCCTAGAACCAGGAACCAGGAGGAGGAGGACGCGGAGGAGGAGGAGGAGGAGAAGGAGAAGGAGGAGGAGGAGAAGGAGGAGGGCCTCCGAAAGTCTGTGTTTAGGCTGTGGTCGATTCTTCTTCTTCTTCTTCTTCTTCGAGGGAGCAGGCCCCCGCCCGCAGCAAGCGGCCGCACCCAGCAGCCCGCAAACACTGGGGGCCTGGGCGCAGGGCCGCGAGCACTGGACCTCGCCGTGCTGGTGCAGGAGCGCCTGGAAGTCCTCGCGGGCGGAGCATGGGCCGAGGGCGCGGCGGACGACAGACGGGACGTGCCAAAACATACTGGAACGACGCGTCCTCCTCGGGGGCACACGTCCGACCCGAGCACGTACTACAACCATCTTGTAGCATCTGGTTTCCCGAGCGGTATGACCAGAAAGCGCCCACCACGGAATGCATAATACAAGATTTCTTGGCGTGCGCGTCGCCCCTGGGGGGGGGACGCACACGTAGTATCAGCATGTCGATGTGACGCCGAACAGAGGCCAGAGGGGAAGGGAGAGCTCAGACGATACGAAAGAATTGTTCAAAATATACATTTCTGTTTTCCCGTTTGGGGGTCAATGTGTGCAGTGATGGGATTCTCGTTAGCACCGTTGTCGGTTCGGTTCCATTGAATGTACTGTTTTCTACTTTGGGCTGCCGTGTTGTTGTCCCGTTGTGGTTGGCCGAAGACCGACATGTTGCAAACGGAAACATAAGCGCCACCAGCGTTTTAGAACACCAGCCGAGGGAGAGGGAGAGCCCGGCGTCGAGCCGGGACCGAAAGCGGTGAGCAGATGGCAAGGCACGACCGGGTCGGGCACCAGATGCTCGGCAGGATGTGCGGGGTGCCACGGCTGCTCCCAGCGTGCCCCAATACACGTCGGTCGGAAGATATGGGTAAAAACATATAAAGTGGGAAGACGGAAAAGGCAGAGTGGGCTCATGCCCTCCAAGAGAATAGCAAAACACATCGAAAGCATATCGATTCCTGAAGTAGGAAGGCGCTCAAAAAAGAGAAAGATCTGGGAATCTAGAAATGCCTGCTTTCAGCCATCGGCGCGCAGCCGCCCTGCACCTCCGGCAGAAGGGCTGGCCGCAGCCGCCCGTCCGGGAGGGAAGGCGGCGGCCCGCCGGGAAGTCGGATGCGAGCACGATCAGCAAAGGCCAGGAGAAGAGAGGAGGGCAGAGGGAAAAACGGCGCGGAGGGCGCGGAGGAGGAGGAGGAGACGGAGGAGGACCAGTGTAAACCCATCACTCATCAACGATGTTGAAATACACCTTCCCTCTAAGATCCCTCTTCAGAGGCCCCTACGAGGGGACACTTCCACTAAGGGAAATGCCCCGTGGACAACCATATCGTGGAGCGTGGCCAAGCACCATTCTCAGGATTTCAACGCCACGAGATAACATGACTGTTACGTCTTGGCGGTCCTGAATCGTGCCAGAACACCGTTCCTGGACTTCAACACCGCGAATCAACGTAACTGTTGCGCCCTGACAATCCTGGATCGCTCCAGAACACCGTTTCTGGTACGTCAACCATGAGATTCAGTGAAACTCTTGCAACTGTTGAAAAGGAATGCGCGCGGAGCGTAGGCGAGAGCCACATTTTGGAAAGGAGCCCCCCTCAATCCGCGAAACTCTTGCCACTTGTTTAACAGAATGGGCGAGGCGCTGAGGCCAGAGCCACATAATGGAAACGAATCGCTCTCAAACAAAAACAACAAAAACACACGTGTGCGCGGCGCAAAGACGAAAGCCACAAATTGAAAAGTACCCTCCCTCAATCCTTGAAACTCTTGCAAATGTTTAAGACGAATGTTCACGGCGCTAGGGCGAGAACCATAGTTTGAAAACCACACGCCCTCCATCTGTGAAACGATTGTCACCTGTTAAGATTCAGGGTCATCAGCGGTAAGGAAGTCAGTCTCAGGCGAATCGCCCGGCCCGCCCTT